CGCGAGAAAGCACCTGGGATTGCTTTGCACATTCTCAAACCAGGTGCCGGAGTGTTACGGGCACCTGGGTCTTATTCAAACTCAAACAGCATTGGACCTCGCAGGCCTGAGTATGGCGCATGGGATGAAACTACAGTGAAACTGAAAATGTATTTTGGGCATGTGATCTTTCCCTGCTCAGGTTGCAATCACCCAGGGTATATGAAGTGAGACAACACGGATTGGTTGACTCACTACAGCAGTTGGAGCTTCCAATTTCCGTCAGGTTAGGCGTCTTCCTCAAGGAGTTCAACTCTGCGAGTGCCCTAGCGTTTGACGCGCTGGGCGCTTCGTCTGCTTCCTTCGGTTTGATTCCTTTTCATATTTTTGGTAGTCCATGCTTCCGTTTGGGGCACCACCCAATGCCATTTTCCGCAAAGACGGAGTGATTGAAGCTTTGGATCATGGGGTCCGTTTTCTGAAGGTCACTATGCAAGCAAGGCCAGGATCTTCAGATTGATTCAGATATCCTTGAAACTCAAAGCACGCTCCGCGCAATAAATGTCACGACTGCGCATGAAACATATATGAGGTGGGTTCTAAGGTAGGAGCCCTCCACGGTGGGCTTTACTTCAGCCTTCAGCCAACCAGAGGAGTTCGCAAGGACCTGTGCTCATAGCCTCCACCAACCATCCAGCATCCAAACGTTTCATTCACAAGATCATTCGCACTGCTCTGCATATGGTTGATCATACGGTTGAATATGAGCTTGCGAGGCTCCATGTTGATCGCACATATGTTGCATCATGTGCCCTGTTTCCATCAATCATGGAAGGACGAGGGGCCTTTGCAAGACGATGACAGTCTTCAAACATCTTTCGACCACACATACACACCAACAATCACACCACCACCCACCACCCACCCACCACCACCCACCCACCCCACCCCACCCCACCCCACCCCACCCCACACCACACCACACCACACCACACCACACCACACCACACCACACCACACCCCACACCACACCCCACCCCACCCCACCCCACCCCACCCCACCCCACCCCACCCACCCCATCGCACCCCACCCCACCCCACCACCCACCCAACCACCACCCACCACCACCCACCACCCACCACCCACCACCCACCACCCACCACCCACCACCCACCACCCACCACCCACCACCCACCACCCACCACCCACCACCCACCACCCACCACCCACCACCCACCACCCACCACCCACCACCACCACCACCATGCCCACCCACCAACCCATCAATCTCCGCCAACCGCCAACCACCCACCCCATGCCACCCCACCCCACTCAACCCCCCCAGCACAACCAGCCCAACCCGACCCTTTACCCCACCCTCCCCGATGCACACCATTCAAAGGCCGGCGGAGTGATGGAAGCAGGCAAGTGGAAGAACTGCCAGGCGCGAGCAGCCGGAAACCGCCCGCGCGATTGTTTTGGACAAATGATAGCCGCTTCACAAGGGTTTGGTCTACGCTAAAGATTCCTAAAGGCTTGTTCGTCCAGGATGGTTTTAGCTGTTCGCCCAGATGGCAGACGGTCTCGGCATCAGCCATTCACAAAGCCTGCTAATGTTTGCCACCCATGAGGATTCCCGCCTGGGCTTCCGATCTATCCAGGCATCAGTAAGCTGCAGGTGCGGAGTCAGACATCCGGCCGTCGAATTGCCTTTTCAAGCGGGGAGATAATTCACCTCCCAAGTTGCTTGGCTTTGCACCATTTGGGTATGAATTTTAATCAGGGACCCTTTGGTGGACATCATTTAGCTGGGATTCATGTCCACCAACCTCCTTTGAGGGCTTCCATGTTCAAGTTCACAGCCAGTTTTGAGGACGGGTGGTAAGCCAAAGTGGACTTGGGCCAATCCGCGGAAGTGACAGAAACAACAAAAACAGAGCACCTTTCAAGAGAGGTGCTGGTGACCATTCCCCACATCCTGGAAATGCTGCTGCTGTCGGCTGAGAACCAGGCCGTGTGATTTCATGGGGTACTCTTGTCGGACATCTCCAGTGGGCCCGGGGTTCCTTGTTGTCCTTTTTGGAATTTGAAGAGCAGAACCCCGTTTGATCAATTCTCAAAGGACGGGGGCCTCTCTTTTCCGGGTCCACCGGAGGTTTGGGATGTCCTAGAATTCGAATCAACAGGATCTGACCAGTTCAAATTCTGTTTCGCCCGTCTTTGGGAGCGAACCTTTAGCCAAGGTCCCACAAGATGAAACTCTGAAACCATTGGGCGGCTGGGTTCCCCTTTGCTGGTTTTAGGCATCAGCTTTTGGGCCAATTGGCAGTGAGTTGGCCTGGGTGATTGGTGGGAGCCCCGAGTGCGCACTTAAATGGCAAGCAGGCAATTCGACACGGTGTCAAGCAGGGTGCCCTTCTTGAAATCTCTACTTGTTTATTTTTTGCAGAATTTGCGGAGGCCCTTTTTGGTGCTGAAAAGGAAAATCAGAGGCTCTGCTACGTAGTTGAAGCCCCCACTTCCTGGCTTCCTTGTCCATTTCACCGTTCTACGTCATCCTCAAGGCAGGCTCATCAGATCCAGCTTCTGACTTTGCCCATCGAGGAAGTCAAAATTAATGTTCCTCCAATCGTCAGGAAGCCCGGCCCCTAGAAGGGCAATGGATGATCTAAAGACACAAATGCTTTGGGCCTTGTTGATCTGAAACAAGCAAGTTGCAACCGGACCCCGTTTGGTTGGGCTTTAGTTTCAATGTGTGTCACTGTGTAGCTGGGTACCAAGTTGTACCAGATTCCCTCATATTCCGATTTGTGTTTTCTATTTGTATGTTTTACAATTTGAAGATCCATTGCTTCAGGCATTCTGCATGTCCCCTTTCAACCGGCAAACAGTCGTCACGTTTTTGCAGGGGTCCACTTGTCGCAGGTGTCCCTTTATTTGTGGTTTGGGGATTTGAGCCCGTCTCGAGTTTTGGATCCATAGGCTTCCTCAACGGCCCTTGCGCCGAAGGACTGGGTGGCAAGGCTGCGGTACGTTGTCTTCGACGAGGCGCTGGGGGAGGGGGGGGAAGACAGGGCACTGTGCATTTTCATTGGACCCTCAACGGAACACTCAGAAATTTCTATCCGAAGCCCATGTTGTGGGTTTTCTATGTCTGGCAAAGAATCAATTGACTTTTATTCCCAGCTCTGAAAACGACGCTTTGGAAGGGGAAAAGCAGGGCTCTAGGGCTGTCGGCTTCATTTCAAAATGAGCTATTAAACCATAGAGGTTCGCATTTTGACACCTCTGGTTCCAAATGGTCTAGCTGTACCTCCCTTGCGATCCTTTTTGTATGAGTTGCCTAAACCCAAGTTGTTCGTGCGGTTTCCCAAACGAATGGTCGCCTAGGTTTTCGCTCTGGGATCTGAGGCGCGATGTAAAGCCTGCGAGTTGAACTTCCCACATGGGCCCTCAAATTGAAGTGTTGGTTGCGCAATTCCCCAAACGAATGGTGGTTCATTGGGATGAAATCTCATGCTTTTACCCTATCCCAATTGCTACTATAGTAGGAAAGCAAAGATTCCCTCTCGTGTTTGCAGCCTGATTCCCTTGGGCATCCACTGCGCTGGTAAATGGAGTCAAAGGTTTAGTCATTTGCAAAAGGCTTTATCCAGTTATGCAGTGTGATTCCACCTGAAGATTATGTTTCTTAGCTTCTCCACACAAATGGGTTTCCAGCCGACCAACAAGGAAGGGTTTCAACATGTTCCGAATGTTCCAATGTGCTTCCTACCTCTTTGCTGACTGGGTGACGCAACTGCGTTCTCAAAACAAGAAGCGGTCACCCCACAAGGATTGAACCCGGTACCTCCTGTCAACTGGAGCATGTTTGGTTGCCTCCTCTCCCTCCTCTTCCTCGTCTTCCTCTAGTGGTAACTGGGATTTGCAAGAGGTCAACTTTTCACCAAGCGTCCAGGTGCACTGCATCGGCGAGCAAGAGGGCGGGGTGCAGTGGGAGCACTGCATGCAGGCGATCGAGTGAGAAATCGAGACATCGCAGGTCTTCAGGGAAATCCCCAATCGGTGGTTTGGGGACAATTCCTGGTTGCGCAGGGCAAATGGGCTAAGTCGTCCCTAGCCTCACCACAAATTCCACATTGCCAGGTACAGGGAAGCTGAGGTCTGGCTCAAAATGCGCTCCCTCACAACCCGGGTACCCGCTTTTGTCAATCATGGAAGTGGAGAAGGGACTTTTTCAAGAGGATGGTAGCGTTCCAAAGCCTTCCGGTCCACTTGGGTGTGTCTTTGTTTAGGGGACCCCAAAATGTGTGATTGTCCAATGGTGTTCCTTTACATTGACAAAGCAGTGGCACCCTGAAAAAACCACACACCCACTTCATGATGGATGGATGAACGCCTGGGGACAGTCTTTTCTGCTGTGGATCTCCGCAGAATATGTTTTGTTCCGTGGGCTTTGGGCAGACTCGTTTGATATGAATTTGACTTTGGAAACCCCTCAAAAGTGGCCAGTGGACATAACACCCCATGCAAGTGCTATCCACCAGACAACAGAGGGCCGCATTGGATTTCGTACTCTCGTGAAATTGGGGAGCCACTCTGAAATTAGTGTGTGTTTTCCCCTCAATCGACTGAAACTTTGCGTCTCGTATTTTGCGACTCCTTGCTACGGCTTCAAATTGGGCTTTGGGTCTGTTCAACTGGGAAAAAAGAAAAAACTGGATTTATGGCAAAATAATCAACAAAAGGGAAAAATGTGAGAAGGAAAAAACAACGACAAAAGGAACACCCGGAAAGAATGGGTTTAAGGCGCGCCATATCCTGTGAGACAACCCGCCAATTGGATTCCAAATGGTTTGTTTCCTGTTGGTGTCCCTTGAAAATTGATCATACTGTTCCAAACAAGTTTTGCCAACGACTCATTTGTGTTAATGGGAGGCAAACCTTCACTGCATGGCTTCCTTTTGGTCCCCTCCCGAGAAAGGCAAAGCCGCCTGCCCGCGTCTGCACTCGGTTTGCCATGGCCGTGGGAGCTTCGGGGTCAATGCTTGGAAGCCCCCAACGAAAAGTTGCCCTTCTTGTTACCCTTGAACGCCACCCAACAACGGGCAGATAAAAAAAGAAGACATGCATCAGCTGTGGCTCCCTCCCCTCACATCTTGCCGCCGTTCGCCAGCTGATCCCGTGCCCCTTCATCGCGCTGAGCGCTACGGTGGCGGACCCCAGCGTGTTCCACAACTGGCTGGGCCCGGACTCCCAGCGCAGCGGGATAGTTGGTGGGTGGGTGGGTGGGTGGGTGGGTGGGTGGGAGGAACGTGCCCCCACCCGATGTTTTAGGTGCTTAAATTATTGGAAGGAAGGCCAAACTTAGGTGACGACACAGAGCTTAGATCTTTTTGGCCGATAGAACAAAAAGGTGAGTTGGTCGACGGTTTCTAACCACTCACCAAATCATGGAGTTGTTTGGGCAGGTGCACCCAGCCAAGACTCATTAGAGAACTACTTGGGCCCTGAACATGTTCCGGTATCCTTTTGCAGATATGAAAGAACAAGCTTGGCCTCCACATGGTGGCAAACGGAAGGCGTTTGTTGGGTGGAGGTCATTCCAATGGGAATCGGTGGAGACTTGGTATCCTTTCGGCATCCCTTGCAACAAGAAGGGGGGATGAAGTTGCTTCCCACCTTTTGGGACCCTGTTTGAGCTGGGGTTTAAGATACCAAGAAGCTGCCTCGAAGATGCGATGTGTTACTGAAGCGGAAGCTCACCAAGCGCCCGGTTTCCATTTGAAAAAATGGTTTCCCTTCAAAGGCCCCAAAAAGGGGACCATCTCCATGCCTTCCTGGATGGCTGTTGTGGACAGGCAACTGAAAGGTATCATTTTCCTGGAGAAAAGATAGCAGAGACGGGGTGGTGCACTCAAGCGGCATGAGGTCCGTGTGGTTGATCATAATTTGCTTGCCCACGTTACAGTGAGTTCTTTCTTTTTAGTCAAATGTTGAATCGTGAGCCACCCTGCTAAGAAGCCCCCAGTTTGGGGTGGTGTTGGTCTGCCTGTTTGAACCCCCCCCCAAAGAGACAACAAGTGCAAGCTGCATGCGCTCGGCTTTCAGCAGAGCGCATCCCAGAAGTGCAAGGAGCGCAGGCGCAGCTTTCCTCAGCTTCTTCGGGCTTCATGGCCGCACCTTCCGACTCGAATCGCGCCGAGGCCGGGTCAACGAAAAGAAGGAGCTCGCCAAGGCAGCGGGAGGAGCGAATTTGTCCGAGCTCTTTTTCTTTCTTTCTCTTTTGTTTCCCTTGGGTTTTTGTTCTGGGTTTCCCTTCGGTTTCCCGGTCAAACAACGCCAAGTCCAAAAGCTGAACATGAACCCTCTTTTGGCGGGGACCCCGTTCTTGTGCTTACATTTTGCGGGCTCAACGTTGCTCTTGCGACCCGGTGGTTTCCCTCTAAATCGGCATGCAGAGATATCACTTTAATGGGGCGCGGGTTCTCCACATTTTCCAGTTTTCCCATGTTTCCACCAAGAGGAAACTCATCGGCACAAAGGTGATGTTTAACACCACCTGTCTCTTTCTTCGGACTGCACCCCACGTGTGAGTGCAGCCCGAGTCCGTTCTCCTTAGCGCGGCGCCCGAAGGCGCTCTTTGTGAAACCTCCGTCTCGTCCACTGTGACTCGACGGTATCCCCTTCTTGCAAAGGGATGGAAATCATGCGAATGTCTGCAACCAAAGTGAGCAGGTCCCCAATGATGACAGGGCAACCTGCCTTGTTGCGAAGTGCTTGCGTTATGTCTTCGTGGAAAGGGAACCACGGCCTTTTCTGAAGACCGGGTCGTGCCTGGAAGAAACCGAGGGCCCGGAGGCTTTGAGGTCTGCTGCAAGTGTTGCAAGGGAATAATTCGACACCCAAGATTTTTCCCAAGGCCCGCAAACTTTTCTCAAAGCTAATCATACGCTTATGCGTAGTCGGCTTAATGAGTTTCACCGCTTCATTGTGTTCTGGCAATGTGAAGAGTGGTCGATCATCAGTGCCAAGGTTAACTGGGATATCCGACTCAGTGCTCATTTGAAAGCTGAGAAACAGCTCAATCCATGAAACACCCCATTAATCTTCCTGGACGTGAGGTGCCCAGCGAAGAGTGGAGACCCAGTGATACAGCCTAAGCATATACGTAATTCCCCAAAACGCGATGTTTTGGGAACCCCGTGTCGGGAGAACCACGGCGGCTCTTTCCCAAATCGAAACGGGTCCGCTTGGCTAGGTGTCCATAATAGAACACCGGGAGCGGTGGAACGCGCCTGGGCTGCATCCCATCTGCAGGTGCTCCAGGCCACTGGCCTGGCCAGGTGTTTCCGCTGGTTGTGGGTGTGTCTTTTTTTTGATGGAGCCGCTTCTTTCGTGGTTCTGGTTCGCTTCTTTTGTTGTTTCAAAGGAACCCCAAAAAGAAACCCACCGCTTTCGCGGTGACAACGGGAAACCAAAAGGAAGACCACCATACATGATCCTGAGAGCTTTCCTGT